TAATATAATACTTACCAACTGGTTATTATAAAGAAATAAAAAATAAAATTATTTAATTAGATGATGTTGAAGATAAAGTTTATTTTGCATTGTAAAAGTTAATTTATAATGTAATATTTACCCTCTGGTTATTATAAAAAAAATAAAAAATAAAATTATTTAATTAGATGATGTTTTGATAAAGTTTATTTTGTGTTGTAAAAGTTAACTTATAATATAATACTTACCCCCTGGTTATTATAAAGAAATAAAAAAATTATTTAATCAGATGATGTTGAAGATAAAGTTTATTTTGTAGAAGTTAATTTACCTTTATAAAATTTAGCTAAATATTATAAGCAAAATATTAAATTATGTAAAAATCCTTTTACTATTATTATTACTACATATGTTTAAAATAGTTATTTTCTGTATAAGAAAAAAATACCTTTGTTCATTTTTTTATTGGGAATATAGTGCAAGACTACCTAATTAGTCCTGCAGCTTGGTGACAGTTTTGAGAAAATTTTCACGGTCACGTGAATTTAAGAAAGCTAAGCCTGGTCATGTGACAGTTGATGATCATTCCATAAACGGGAAAAGTCGTTAATAATAATAATAATAATAGGACCTCGGACAATTATAATTGAACTGGTATTGGGAAAAGTGGGTAGTGATCTCTAGGGATGGGAACGGTTCCTGTCACGCGACGCGACGAATAATATTTCCATAATTGATCCGTGATGATTAATATACTAAATTATAGGTGACATTTAGATTGCCAAAACAAGACAAATTAATTGTCACCTATAATTTAGTATATTAATCATCACGGATCAATTATGGAAATATTATTCGTCGCGGCGCGTGACAGGAACCGTTCCCATCCCTAGTGATCTCGTTAAAAATCTTCAAGCATTTACATAATAAAAATAGGACCTCGGACAATTATATTTGAACTGGTATTGACAAAAGTGGGTATAAATTGGCCTTTTTTTTGAGGAACTGGTATGTAAAAACAGGGTATTGTAAAAATAACTGGTATGTAAAAACGGGTATTGTAAAAATAAGTGGTATGAAATTTCAGGGTATTTTTCTGAACATTTATAACTGGGATGATATAAATGGGGTAAAATCAGTAAAATAAATGCCTATTGATCATATTATTGGAATGTTCATGAATTTATATTCTTTACTGTCAACAACACTTTATAATTTTATAGAAACAACCAATGAAATTGAAACTAAAAATAATCAAGAAACTTTTCAAGGAGAAGAAGAAATTATGGTTGAAATTGCTCAATTGATGGAAAAATTCTCAAATTTAGATATTAGAGATGATAGTGATGAGAATTTGAATTTGAGTTTACAAGAAGTCAATTTATTGGATAATTTAGATAACAATTCAATCACAAATTTAAGTTTTTCTGTTTTAGATTATGAAAATTTATATGTTTCACTATACAACCAAAGAGTATCCCATCAGGCTTATATTTCAAAAAACATCATTCATAGTAGATGTCAAAACATTCCAAATAGATCAGATTTAACAAGTACCCTTAATTCATCAATTATTAGTTGTCATGTTTCATATTTAACAAATAATTCAGATACATACAATCAACTAAAATCAAGACTCCAATGTTGGGGCATTCATCAAAGATTTCAGCAAATAAATTCACTTTTACCAAATAATAATAATGATAGTAGTAGTAAGTTGATATTTGATTTTGCTTTTGAATTTTAATTAAATATTAATTAATCATAAAATTATTACAGGTGGTGGAATTCCACAAATTTGCACAGCAAATGTATCTCTAATATATCCAGCACAAAGAAATGGATTTGCTTTTGCTTTAATAGATTCAAAAATTTATTTGATAGAATTCTTGGCTTTTTTTTAGGGTTGTGTTGGTCCAGTCCAGTCCGGTCTCAGTCCCAAAAGACTGGTCTTTTTTTGAAAGACTGAAGGACCGGTCTTTAGATTCGGTCTTTGGGACTGGTTAAAGATTGTTTAAAGGATTTTGATGTGAATCACATATTG